TTCAGTTCTTTGTTTTGTTCTTCTTCCTCTGTTTTTGTTAGAGAGATAAAGAGAGAGAAGTCTTGATTTTTAGTGAGAGAGGAAATGAAAAAGTGAGTGAGGGAGAGTTGTAAGCAAAGAGTAATTATGGTTCGAGTGATGGAGAAAGAAGACAAAGACAAAAAAGTTTAGTTTATGTTTATTGTAACGGCTAGTTTTTACTTCTTGGTCTGCGCCAAAAAACAAAACGGTAAGCGAGAGAAACATGACCAACGGCTATAAAGTTATTTCGACCGTTTTTAATAATTAATTCATTATGATTAACCAAAGTCTTGATTGTACAGTATTCCAATCTCACTAATCTAGATTCTCTCTGTTCTATGATCAGACAAAAAAATATTATTTTCCCTGAAGTGGTCCTAATCTTGACACTTTTTGCCACGTCAGTCGCACACTAGAGAGATACATAAATCTTTTAGGCAAAACGTACGTCACCTAGACAAACTCAAACACTAAGAATTTACGAAACATATGTTAAAGAAGATGAAAAAGGATAAATATATAATACAATTATATATCATCATCATAGAGGAGGTACAGTTGTTGTAGCGGTCATTATTTACACAAACGCAAAGACGTTTTGGAGGGTGTGTTTGAATCCATACATTTTAGTAGTACACAAAAGTATGCAACAATTCTTATGGACAAAAACACTGCAGCTCGTGTTACTACTACTTAACCAATAATGAATTAAGCTTTTCTATTTCGGCATCGGTTTAACATTCAAGAATCCGCCGCCAACTCAGGCTGCCTTAGAACCGTTTTCTCAGGGGGGCATGCGCGTAAGAGTGTGCAGATGTCGTTTTTCACTAGGAACTCCTCTGCATTCACGAGGATCAGAGGTCCATACTCAAACACCAACTTCTTGCACTGTAATAACAAAGACACAACACCGTAAAATGAGAAAAGCCTAAGCTAGCAACTATGATCATGATGTTGCCTTGCACAAGTTTGAGAAGAACACCAACACACATAGAAAGAAACGAATATATGATAAACATGTTTAAGCAACTATTGACAACATGATTATGTTAACCTTCTTCTCATAGTTCTTGAGCGATTTGCATCCCTTGATAAGTAGCTCAACTATATCCAGCTGGATAATCAAGGAAACAAAGTCAGTATATGAAACGCATCAGCATTATAAGAAGGAAAAAATGTCTACATGAGGATTGTTTATACAGATAAACTCTGATAGTTAAGCAGTTTAAACTGTTAACGTGATCTTCGAGAAAATAATAACACGAGAACACACGCGTAGGAGCTTCCTTCGACTATGATTATGACTTATGAGTACTCTTAATCAGAGTGCTATGATGAGTCTATGACACAGAATGCATAAATGATAAGGCAAGTTACAAAATAAATCAATGTGATAGAGATAAAGTGATCATCTTGTAGTTACTACAAACCTGTACATCGGGATCTTGTAGTTTGATGAGAATCTCTGAAACAGTCTTGTGGCATACACCGCAACTGTCCTGACGGGCTTCTTCAACAAGAGCTACCACTTTGCCACAAAGATTCATCCTCTTGCAGAAATAATGAGGTTGAAATGACTCCAGTTGTAAGAAGAAAAGAGGGAGATAGTAATCGACCAAAGTTACGCACTGCACCAAAAACAAATCATCCAACACATTCTAGGTCATTATAGAGAATGTAGAAAAATGTAAAAGTCCACCATCAGCAAAAAGAAAACAAAAGTTTTTGTAATTCAACACATCAATTTACTGAAGCAGAAAAATGAGAGAACCTGCTGCTCAAATCCACGAATATGCGAACACCGATCATGAAGATCCTCGATTATCTGAGCTTGTGTTTCGTTTTTCTCAAGGTAGCTGAGAGCATCAGTAACATATTCCTCACAGAGAGTGCAAACATTATCATTCTTGGAAACTTCCTCTGCACAAAGACAAAACAAAATCCGAAAGTTTCTTAAATCTTTTAAGCCATAAAGAGCTTTCACTAAACTATCTAAGCCAATTCTTATAAGGGAAATTGGAATGTTGAAAGATTCATCTACCTCATCTCCAACCATAGAAACCAACTACTATTTCAGTACAAGCTTGTATAGAATCAAGAACGAGTAAAGATGGTGTCTTAAATCCCGAAACTGTTTTGTCTGAAATTATTACCTGAGAGAGTGGAGTCAACGAAAGATCTAGCGTCAGAAACCAAGATCAAACCCAACAAGAAAAGAAGCAAAGTTTCAGCTTTGAGTCCCATTTAATCTGGTAAAGAAGACAAGAATCACAAGTCAGTGAGAATTTCAATTTTACTCTTTACCGGAGATTCTCTGCGCCGGATTAGAGCCAATAAGGTAACAAGATTCAAGAATTTGTAGAGATACTTTTACCTTTTTCTGTTCTTCCTGAAAAACCGAGCAAGTGATTCGTAGAATCTGGTCTTGTGTAAGAAGAAGAAGAAGAGATGGTTTTTATGGAGAATCAAGATCCGCCGAATTTGGTCGATTGCGTATGAATGTGGAAGGTCAATCAAAATGAGGTATTCTCATTTCTCACACCACAAGCAAGCTATTATCCCAACCACGTCAGCATCAGCTTGTGGGGGAGAGTAACTCCAAAAGCCCCAACCTTGACATTTTTATTCAATATGCCCCAA